CACCCGAAAATAACACGCGTATTCATGGATCAGACGACGGTTCTCCGATGTCATGGGCCGGAATATGTGTGTACGTGTGGCGCCACTTTCGTGCTAAACAGGCATAGAACTAGCTGGGTTGCGATACGAAAAATCACTCACTTCGTAATAAACAGAACAATTAAACTTATGGCTTCATTGCACTAAGAATATCTCACTGAAATTTTCAAAAAGCCAATCAAATGCACTAAATTTGAACCAACACTAACCAATTCTACGGCATGCACCAGATCCACCAAAGCATTTTCCACTTCCAAAACATGTTTAAATGATTTCTGCAGTTGTGCCTTCAAGAAGTCCGTGTAGGTTGGCACTGAGGAGACTGTTCCGTCGAGCACAGAGAGATTATTCGCTTCTGAATCTGTCGGTATGCTGAGTGCGCTCGCAACTTTTTTGTTACGCATAATACGACGACAGTCTGAATCGCATGGTAGACTGAAACAAGAAAGCAATTGCACATTCACAGCCTTACTGAGTACATTTAAAACAACAAAATGATACCTTACTGCAGAATTCAAAGCCTAGTCTTCAAGTACTTTGATATTGTCGTATCTCAGCATTCCAGTAACATTCACCCAGACAAATGAGTTAAAAAATCAACAATATAATCACACAACACAGCTACTAATGTCAATTTTGAGAACAAACTGAAATATGGGGAAAAAATCTTCTGTAGAAGTCACTTACCATCTATATTTGTCCAGACTTGGTGAACGTTTTAGAATACGCTTCTGCGACGAATCACTTTCCTCAGATGCCTCCGAAACACGTACGGCCATCATCTTCTGATAAGCGCGTTCCACATCCACACAACGCATCTCGGCCGTTTTACGTTGGCATGCACATGTGACCATTATCCTTTCTGTGCAAACACTGAAAATTTTAGTTTTGCTCACGCCGCCACACCTGATTATCTCAAAAAAGTAGACTCAGGTACCGGAAAAAAACGAGAATACACAAGCCTAAAAAACTCCCGATTCAGAAGAGACCAGGAATACTGGAAAAAAGTTATCAGTGAGTAGAAAGACGAAATCAAGCACACCTTTTCGGACATGGTTCTTTGCCATG